ACTGTGCACACTAGGGTGGGATGAAAAAAATCAAAATTTCCAATAGTGCGGAAAAGTTGTCACTGGACCTCGTTATTAAACGTGCAAAATATCTTTGAAATAGGTTAATATTTTCAGGTTCCACAACCCGATCGAAGTTTTCACCTGTCACATCAATTGGCAATATACACTATCCATCATCTACACTCATCGCTGTTGTGTTTGTGCACTTTCACAACATGATAATCACTACAAAATACCAACGTTGAGGTAACGCAGATTTTTACTGGGTATCAGACTGTACACACATGTTGCACTGCAGATTGACACTACACACATGTAACACTGCAGACTGACACGACACACTGTGCACACATGTAACACTGCTGACTGACACGACACACTGTCCACATTACACTGCAGATTGACCCTACACACTGTACACACATTACACTGCAGGCAGATACTATATCTGACAAAGCTTATTTGTGAAGAAAGACATTCTCTTTAACTGATGACTCGATTCTGAAAAGGAAAAATGTTCAGAGACCAGCTGAAAATGAAAATATTCATTATACTTGTGTTCAGCTATAGTCAGCAGACCAAAAACATGCTGTTTATCATAATGAAAGACAATTCCTCTGTACAATGACCCCTTAAATGAAGGTAATATTATAAATAAAAGGCAAAATGTGCCCTTATACATGTTATAATGAGCAAGCTAACATGTGTTTCGAATAACTGACCTACATAGGCCAAGAATATAATAATCATAATAATAATATTATTGTGAAAATCGTTATTCCAAACACCATTCCTGAAAAGGCCTCGCTAAAGTTGGAGGCAGCAGACCTTTGTAGAAACATCTACTGTAGGTGGTATTTTCTCAGTAAAACTGCATTATGCACAATCACAGACACTGCACAGACACTGTGCAGTGATGTTACAGAACCTCTATTATACAAAACAGATTCAAATAAATAAATGCAGAAATAAATGTGATCTATGTGGGACAAGGAAATATGTATAAAAAAACAGGCTTTTTGAAATGATAGGAGCAGGAGGTAAAATTAAGCCATTTATTAACATGTTGTTAACGTGTTGTGCAGGATTGGGTCCATTCCGCAATACATTCTTCGATTGCAATCCAAATCAGAAAACGGAACTGGAGTTGGGATTGGAAAAAAAACCCATGGCGAACAGAATTGGAACTGAATTCGAATTTCAGCTGTATTTAAATTCCAACTCCAGTTCCATTTCCTGATTTGGACTGGAATCGATTAATGCATTCTGGAATGGCCCAACCCTGGTGTTGTGGAGACCACGGGTGTGTTTATGTTCTACCCACTTCCATTTTCCAACTGGGTGCACAGTGGAAACAATGGTGATGTCATCACTATGACCCCAAATGTACGACTAGCACAGATGATCATTGCTGCTCAGCAGGTAAAACACAAAGACCATGTGACAAGCTTACCGCTGTCCAGCAGGTACAAGACTGAGCTGTAGTGACTGGCCCTCACAGCGGAGGTGGGCTCTGGTATGCAGCCAGGGTCATTGGGAGGGGAGACACAGTGTGGAACTACAACAGAAATGCAACAAAAGCGGCCCACAAACATCAGGGACCAAGTGACGGATCATTCATCAACACAGAGAAAATTCTCCAGTGGAGAACATTCATCAGCAAAGGACAGATTGTCAGGTGAGCACAGAGAAGGGATGAAATAGAGTATCGCAGGAGTCAATGTCCATTTCATCTTTTATGTGCTTTGTTCTGTCTTCCCAAAAATACAGAAGCCAAAATCTTTTTTTTCTGAGACATGAATAAGACAAGAGATACAGAGTTCACTGGTGAAAAAATCCAGACCAAACTTCACACAAAGATACAATGAGGCCGCAACTGCACAGGAACACATCTGTAAAATATATTCTTGGAAATATTAATTATTATGCCCCTTTCTACATGAAGCATTTTTCACAGATTATGCACAAAACCACACACGGTGTTCATGGAAACGAATGGCAGATTCATGCTAGATATACACACGCTGTATTCCTGAGAGAGTACACACTGAGGATCTGCTCCTTATGGTCCAAGGGCTACAGCAACAAAAACATCTCAGAGTCACTGAGCTACAGTGACACACTTGTGGCCACAGCAGGTCACTGTCAGGAAGCCATGTTAACTAAGACGCAATGGTGAGCGAGTGTGAGCGGCGATGGAGTCAAGACATCACCAGTTGCACACAAAAAGCGGTGCGGCCAAAAACAGCAGGACTGGGGAATCGGGCCAATTATGAGGGAGAGCGGAGAACAGAGCAGCTGCCTATTCGTCAGGCAGGAGATGGAGGTATACTGGTCATTAGCAGGTTAGTGGTTTTGCACCATTTCTGTTAACGAGATGCAGGACCTGCCTGTAGAGGCGAATTAGAGGCGTGACCAATGCAGCACCTGACAGCCAGGTAATGACCTGCTTAATGAGACCTGTCACTGACAGGTCCGGCAGCAGCCCTCATGACCAGCGCACTGGATCTCGGCAACAGCTGGATCCATTTGCTAAATAATGTTATGAATCGGATGCCTGAAGCCAGCTGATGTTCCGTTAACTCAGGACCAGATGTCACCAAGCATGTGTTTTGACTTCTGTCATTTATCTTTCAGCAGAACCAATCACACGTGACCAAATACTCTCACAAATGCAGATACTGAAACAGGATCAAGCGCATCCAGTTTCGCCGTAAAATCACGATAAAATAACATCAAAGGCAGAGGTTATGCATGCTGGTTTTTCTTTCTCCTGCTGGAAATGAGCTTTTCTGGTGCTTTAGGTTGTGGAGAAAGCTCAGCATCATCAGGGCACGTCACTGTCCCTAAATGGCAGCCTACGTCCCAGCAGAGTCACAAATACTTTCATTTAAAGTGCCGCAGCTCCTCATCAAACGCTTTTACAATCTCACAGTGACTCATTGGGCAAAATTCTTACTGCAGCCTTGAGCTAAAAATATGACAGCTCATGAAAATTTTCTGGTTTAAAAAAAAAATCAAGAAAAACTTAACAATATAGATGATGGTGGAGCAGTGCGACCTTCTTGGTCTGGAGAAATTCCGCCTCAGAGTCGAAGTGACCATCTCATTTTTCAGGTCTTTAAATATCTCGATTCAGGGTACACAGTGCTGTCAACACTTCCTGCAGCATCCTTCGCTCTCTATGTATCTTTCCTACCGCTTAATAATTTCTCTGTTTATTCAGTCTATCTTGTGAGCGTCCACAGGACTTAAACACATCCACAGGATTATGGATGCCTCACAGAGACATATTTGAATATTAAAGGGGCCATTAGAATTTGCTCCACATAAGTCACATGAAGTGAAGTGAAGTGAATGCTGCTCAAAGAAAATCCATATTACTGTCTTAAATAGAAGGTGTGTTGAGCTGGTGTGAGAGAGAGAGAGAGAGAGAGAGAGAGAGGAGCTCTGCACTCAGTGTTACCTGAGGTGGGTGACCTGCTCCGTTCCAGCTCAGAGGGCACTGGGTTATCTGAGAGTTCGGTAAGGCCTGTTATCCAATCAGAGGAAATGTGTCCAAGATGGGTTGACAGCCAATGGGTAATGATGGAACAAGAAGATAAGAGCGATGTTAAATGTCTGACTGGATCGCATCGATATAATGTCAACAATGCCATGTTATTTAGAGCAGGGGTGGTGAACCTGATCCATGGAGAGCCCGTGCGGGTTTTTGGAATGACCTTTCAGTCAGCCAATAATAAAGCAGTGATTCTCAACTCCAGTCCTTGGAACCCACTGTTATTGGCTGATTGAGAGGTCATCCCAAAAACCCGCACCCACACTCGCACTCCATGGATCAGGTTCCCTACCCCTCATTTAGAGGGAGAAAATACCAGCACATCACTTTCACCAGTCTTAATTCTGGTTGTTTCACCAACTAAAAAAAAAATCCCATTACTACAGCGAGGCTGTACTTACTCTGATTGGGCGTACGGATCCTTTTCTTCGAATCAGAGCAGAAGTTAGCCAGCCCGCGGACGCTAAAGTGATCTGTCAGGAGCCAAGCGAGAGAAACAGGAAGGCCTAGGTGAATGAAGGGGAAGATCCAGGAAGGGCCATCACGGCCGAACACTGCCGCCTCACTGGGCTTTGGTGAAAACTAACAGGGGCAGTGTGCGGCTCAGTGGTTTCTGCCTCAGTGCCTGTGGTCGGAAGGTTGTTGGTTCTAGTTCTGCTCTCAGCAGAATAGTCACATCGCCAATCGGCACTTGTGCAAGGCTGTTAACCCATCAAAACTCTCCAGGGGTACCCGATGAATGTCCTGACCATACCTGCATGAAGTTGCCCCCCCATATGTTTCAGATTTTAACCAAACTGGTCCCAATCATTTGTGAATTCCTCCTACTTGTACAGTAGTTAAATGGTAAATAGAGCATCATCTTATTTCCTAGACGGAAGCAGGTTATGTAGGCGAGGTGATCACTGACACGGAAATAACACATTCAGCATGAGGCTAATAGGCACAGCACATATCTCCAGATACAATACGAGGCATTACGGCTGAATGAAGCACTGCTCAAACAAATATGCTGTCATGTAAACATTCCACAGTGCATGTTACATAATCATAATTTGAAAACTTTCAGCATCACACAGCAAATATTGTGCAAAATGTATTTAAAGTTTTCTTCTAAGGAAAAAGACTAGTGTTTTTTATTCTGATTGACTGTAAGGAAACTTTTTCAAACTGTCATAGAATATTGCATAAATCCTCTCTTGACGAGGAACTGAATGAAGAATGTCATTATAACCCTGAAGATTTTTCCCATTTCCTGAACCGTAGCTCAGTGATTTTGCGTCTTTTTGTTGATAGTTAAGGGCTATAAAAAGACCATAAAACTAAGATGTCTGCCTCATTATGGAAGGCGGCCGCTGGGCTCAGCGAGACTGAAAAGCGACACCTCATAAAGGTATAATTCATAAGTGCTACAGCAGAACTATGAATCATAAAAGGTTAATTCAGGAGAAGCCAATATGAGATAGATAGAACTCTTACACAAAATGTGTCAATTTCCAATACTTACAATAATAAATAAATATATGTGTGTGTGTGTACTGTATGTGTGTGTGTGCGTGTGTGTGTGTGTGTGTGTGCGTGCGTGTGCGTGAGTGTGTATGTGTGTGGAATATATTTATATTACTTTGTGGGGACCATTTTGTGGTCTCCACAAAGATCTGTGAATGCAATCAAAAAAGTAAAAATACCTAAAGTCTTGTATTTTGTCTGGTTACTTATGGTTAAGGTTAGGGCTGGGTAGGGGTTAAGGTTGTCATTGTTGGGATTTGGGTTTTGCCCATAGAAATGAATGGAGAGTCCCCACAAAGACATGAATACAATCATGTGTGTATGTGGACACACCTGTGCTAAACTGCTTGATCTTGTGAGGTGAGCGCACTCGTAGGTAGGGGTCACTGTGAAGCTCCTGTATATTCATGCAGAACAGAAGACTCTTCTGAAGATAGTCAACCAGCACCAGATTGTTACCACATCCCAGAGCCAGCCTGGGAAAACACACACAAGAGCTGTTACTGCCCCCTAGAGCCAGCCTGGGAAAACACACACAAGAGCTGTTGCTGCCCCCTAGAGCCAGCCAGGGAAAACACACACAAGAGCTGTTACTGCCCCCTAGAGCCAGCCAGGGAAAACACACACAAGAGCTGTTACTGCCCCCTAGAGCCAGCCAGGGAAAACACACACACTCTGTTACTTTTTTTTTTTTTTACTCAGTCTTACTATTTTTATCTCTGTCAGTCTTAGGACAGAGAAACAGAACTAGCGCCACTCACAGGCCATATGCGGAATTGACATCGACTCCGGTGATCTGCTGAGGATGGTCCCCGTCTGCAGTCAGGATCTGAATCACAAGCTGGGCCTGGTACCCGGCCGGCATTCTTGCCGCGCGCGTCTTCACCCTGATGCACACACAGATTTCCACATGCCACAAGGCAGCCTGGGAAAACACCCTTTGAGACCACGGGGCACCAGGGCAAGGTCATCACGGTCCTCGGATCACTCACTTCAGGTAGGGGGCACTGTCTCGCACACTGCTGGCTGTGGTGCCCCCAGGATTTCCTGGGAAGGGCTGTGGTGAGCGGATCCTGGGATCCACAGTGGCAGGATGGACATCAACTGGTGCAGGAGAGACACTGTCCTCTGTTTCACTCTGCAGATAGACCTCCAGGGGCTGCAGGGGGTAAAGGGTCTCATTAAATATGGTCTGACAGACTGAGATACACGCAAACACACACCAACTGAGTGTACAGGACACACAGACACCCACAGAGTGCAGCGGTTATACGACACAATCTATTTATACTTTTGGGGACGGCTTTATGAGTTGTTCGATATGATTGATATACATAAGGGATTTATACAGAAAAGCACAGCAAATTCCCTTAAACATTGACCTGCTCATGACCTCCAGGAGAACTGACCGGTCTGTGAGCTCACGAGCCTCACACTGGGAGTTTCCCAGCAGATCCAGTGAATCTCAGGCAGTGGCGTTTGCCTGTGAGCTCCCTGGTCAGAACTGACCAGCTGGCCTTACATCTTGCCCACACAAAACTCCACTGGCTGATATTTCTCTTTTAGCTATTGTTGGACGGCTCGTTCTCCGTGACAAATATTTCCGGTAAAAAGAGTGAGTTATATTTATGGAATCGTACCCCCGGGGTGGCTGATTCGGCGGCCCCGTTGAGGGTGGGAGCGGCTTACTCACCACTATCTCAGCGGTGGCGTCATGCTTGTTGAATCGGTAGAGGATGGCATAGGCTGAGAAGCCCACCACACACAGTAGCTGGCTGTGGGGGCACCAGATGACAGACTGCACCACATAGGGGTCCTCCTCCATGACCTCTGACCCCCGGCCTTCCGCCGCCTTCGGCTTCTCAAACACCTTGCATGTCTTTACCATGTAGAGCATCTTCAGGGTCACTGTTGAGAAGGAGACACAACTCAGACCGGGAGACATCGAAAGCAGATGTGAGTCACGTCGAGACTAAAATCGGCGGAGCCGTTGTCATCTGGCTTTCATCCTTTCATTCTTTCTTTTTTTGTCTCCCTTTTCCCTTGTTTTTGTAGAAGCCTTTATATATGACATAGTAATGTATTACAACACACCCATGCAAAGCGCCTTGGGGTGACTCTGTTGTGAAAGGCGCTATATAAAAATTAATTGAATTGAACAGAAGAGTTGGACTCACTGGCAGACGCGTCCCAGAACTTTACCGAGCCGTCGGCGTGCCTATGAAAAACAGGAGTGGTCTTCACTGCAGGTCCAATGTGTTAATTAGAGTAGAGAGGAACCATCTGATAGCATCACAGGGGGTCTGCAGGCTCAGTCCGCACACTGGCCTGACTCTGAAGCACTGCAGCAGTGTTCACCCAGGCCAGTGACGACACTGCCCTACAGGAAGCCCATCTCACTACGAGCTCCGCAGTCACCAGGAGCGAGAAACCCATGTTCAACTCACGTCACGGCTGCTTACGTCCATATGGAAAGGCTTGGGCTGACTGCAGCAAACCGGGTCCCAGACATGCGCACATTGAGCACACAAAGGCTCTTACCCTGTGAGGATGATCTCTGGCTCGGTTTGGGCTCCTGCAGCTCCACCACTCACTGGCCACTCCTAAAAAAGCATGCATGTACGATACATAACGCACACAAAGGAGGATAACTCACAGATACTCTCACTATATAAACACACAAGCAGGACAAATGGTGTGAAAAGGTGCAGCGGGACAATGTGGCGGATGGACCAGTCACGTTACAGAGTATTGGCCTGATCTAGGGACAGAACGCAGTGTGCTCCTAGAAGCCTTTACATGAGCTGCACTCAGCGCAGTTCTGTGTGGAAGTGTAGATCTGTACAATTCTGTGTGTTTGTACCAAATTTCCCCACAATGTGGTTAAACCTGTTACTTTTTAAGTTGTGGGGACATCAGGTAATAATAATATATATATATTTTTTTCATGTCCCCACAATATAAACCTCAATTTTATAAAAATCAGTGCAATCAAAAAATTCAAATTGCCATCAGTCTTGTATTTTGTTTGCTTATTTATGGTTAGGGTTAGGGTTGGGTAGGGGTTAGTTAGGATTAGGGTTGTGCTCATAGAAAGGAGTTCCCACAATGATAGGAATATATGAACTGCATGTGTGTGTGTGTGTGTGTGTGTGTGTGTGTGTGACATACAAGAAGGAAGCATATGCTTGGGGTGCTGACTCTGTAAACCAGGGAGAAGGACATGTCTGCTTTTTTACTGTCCTTTGACATGGAAAATGACCCTGTGACTTTGGGACAATGAACTTCCTGAGGAACAGACACATCAGACCTCAGTGTATGGAGGATAATTTATGTGCTTCTTACGGCTGAAGAAAAAGGACCATCTCACTGACATGCCCTGAAAACACTCATTATTTAGAGACTTGTACAGCCCTTGTTATAGTGGGATTATAGTGAGATTAACACTGGGATTACAGTCTATTTAAACTGGATTTACAATGGATTTGTTGTGGATTTCATGTGGCTTACACCTTTCTTCTGGAGACGGCAGAGGCTGGTCTCACCTTGTGACTGAACCCCTGCTTTTTCTGCATGATGCCCAGGGAGTAGAGAACGTGGATGAGGTCGGCGGGGCACTCAGTGAAGTAGGCCGTGCAGGTGACCGGGGACACGTGGATATCCATGGGGTACGGATTCTCAAAGACCGGGAAACTGCAGGCCCGAAAGACAGAAAGGTATAATTGTCACAGATATGTATCCGTTTGGCTCAAAATGTACATCAATAGAGATAAACTATAGATTAATTACAGACAGTCTCCATGTTACAAATGAGATCCGTTCCCTGAAATCCTAAAGAATTTGTCTGAAAAATATTAATACAGGAAATAATAATAATAACTACACAATAATAATCAAGCCGACCAACTGCTGAAGCTGCGCAGTGTTTTCACAAGTGTCACAAAGTAGAGTGTGCGTGCAAGTCAGACATTCTTATCCTGGGGACAGCAAGCACCGATTTGCACTAAAAGACTATTGTCAATGAATTTGAACATTGTCGCCTGGTTTTGTCCATCCAAATGATACTCGATGGGTCTGAACACCCCTGGCTGGTTTTTCGACCAATCAGATAACAGAAATGAGTTTGAACACTGGCGTCTGGCTTTGACCAATTAGATAAGACAGATGGGATGCTGCATCTCCAGGCTGACTGATAGTGTGTTATTGAGGCAACGGGAGGCTATATTTCCGAAAGGCTTGTCAGAGCCACTGGCTGTCAGACATGGCATGATAAAGTCCTACAGGCAGCTGGTAGCTTAAGTAGCACCTTGCATCCAGAGGCTCCAGTGACCTGATTGCATGCAACGTCTAAGCAGGTGTACAGAGTCTCCTCCCATCGTGACATACTTGCTCTGTGTCAGGTCCACCATGATGAAGTCCTTCTCCAGCAGCACAGCTACGGCATAAGGTTCCTGCACCTCTGCAATCAGAAAGGCACAGAGCTTCCTGAAGGCATCCGGGACATGAGACCTCAATAGGTGTCACTTTGTTACGTCTGGTCACTATTTTACACATTAAGTATAACCTTAAGTTCTGAAAATATAATGTGAAAATAAAATGTGGTGCAGGTTGACGCAGGGTGTGTGGCACCAGGCCCTTACATTATTTTAATTACATTTTCCCCAGGATTAGCTCTGATAAAGACCGAGCATACAAGATAATATCTCTCTCAAATATTGTCCAGGTGGAATCCTGATTTGTGCCTGAACCAATTAATTCTGCTGGCCTTAGGGTATAAACGATTGTTTGTAAATTTACTGTAGCCTGCGAAGGACCTGGGGGAACTGCTATTATAATGCAAATATAACATGGAAACCTGAGGATATTCACATACCACAGCTCTGAGATCTTTCATATCTGGTGCTCAGGTATATCATATATATCACCGTTGGGTAGATTAAGGGCCTTGATCAAGGGCCTTAGGGTGGAATCACTCTACTGACCCTCTTGTTTCTGCCCATAGTCAATTCCAGATATTGAAGTTCACAAAACCAGTGGAAGTATACCAACCATTAGGGTATGGGGTCTCGCAGAGCACCAGGAAATCCACAATGGGGTGATCCATCTCCAGCACGGTGACAGACTTTCCGTGCATGATGGTGAGTGCCGGCCTCTTGCCGGCCTTGTCATAGGACAGCCCCCCCGAAAACACGATGAAAGGTTCACTGCTGAAGGAAGAATGAGCTTAGGCTTGTTTATATGGAAGTTATATAATAGCTAATTACAAATAGCAACAAACCATCTGGGCACTAAAGGCAGCTTTCTTCAAAGAATGTTTTAATCCCTTTTTGGTTATATAAAACCTTCAGTATATTTGCTAATAATGAGCTCAAATTTCCAAAAGCATCTGTTTTGTTGTGATAAGAGTCTCATGAAACCCCCTACAAACAGAAACCTAAAATAACACTGAGCTCAATGCCAGACGGATCGTCTGAGACTCCCGTTGGTCTCCGTTGACGTCATAGTGACATGGGGTTGCAGGAGTTGACTTTACCTGCTCCGGGTTGTCTTGAACTCAACTTTTGGGATGGGCTTGCATGATTCTGCCTTCTTGCTGTCCTTCTGAGTTTTTCCTGGTTGGAAAGTGGAAAGAGAGAAATGCAGGCGCATTCCATCACGTGGGTCCCTGGCGGCCTTAAAAATCCCCATCCAGGAAAGAATACAAACGCAGAGAATAACTCTACATCAGTATATGATGTTTAGGGGATTTGTTAACCTAGTGAGAGTAGTAGGTGATAAACATGATGACTTCAGATTTGAACAAACTCATGGAGAGAAACAGAAGAGTCTTTAACAAAAAAGGAAAGAGAATAAGGGCATCAAGTCTAGAAATTGGGCCACGTCCATGTACTTCACCTCATCAAACAGTAAGATTAGCAGATAAGATCAGAAGCTTGGATCTGTGGATGAGAGCAAGCGACATGGGGGTAGATGTCCTCACCATGCGGGAAGGTGACCTGGAAGGGTTTGGTGGTGTTCCTCATGTTCCAGGTGGTCAGACTGCCATCTGCATGGCTGCACATGAAAAGCTTCCCCTCGTGGTGCCAACCGACAGAGCGGATAGCCTAAGGTGGATTTTAGGTGGTGACAGGATGAAGACATGGCAGGGATCGGTCAAAGACAGGGGCGTGCAACTTTGGTCCATTGGCAATGTAGATGCTATCTTCTTTTTCTGAATTGCAATTTCTTATTATTTCCAATAGGTTAGCATTTATTGACGTAAATGTGTTGGTGAAACGAAGTCCCATTGATTCTTAGAGGCTGCAGGTGAACCAGCATGAAGCTAATCTAATAACAATCATTTAAAAAGGGACCTGCTCATTCTTCCAAAGAGTTCCAAGAGGACTCAAAACATGTTACTGCATGGCTCCTGTCAAATAAATAGCGCAATGATTCTCTCAGCCTCCCATAAAAGATTAAGGTCGCTTTGATCTACGGACGGCCTTCCAGGTCCACCGGGTGAGTGCAGCCAAACTTACCTCATCGTACTGGATTCTAAAGTCTGCTTTTTTAGCACGCAGGTCCCACTGAACCACAGTCCCACTCTCAAATGCAATCAGTAGCTGCGGAAAGTGATGGGGAAATGCAGATTTTAGACAGGTAAAAAAGCTGAAGAGTCGTTCATGCTAAATGCTAAATAATGCTAAATGGTCAAAAGGCAAATTGGGAAAGCTAACAAAGAGTTTCTCTTACTTGCAACAATAAAGAGTGGGTGTCATAAGTAAGCAGTAGTCAATGAATGGACTCATGGGGTCCAAGATAGTGGATGGTGAGGCATCTACTCCAGCACTCACCTTGGCTTCATCCCTGGGTCTGTCACTCAGGTGCACCACAGGTCCAGGGTGGGTTTTGGTGGATCTAGGAATGAGATCAAACATGGCAATGTGGAATCTTTTACTGAAGAAACTGGTATTTATGGTTTTCATATGATGATGATTTTTGAATGTCGGTCTAAATCAAGTTTAGCACAACTGGGTGTTGCAACAATTTGTGCCAGAACCAGTAAAACTGTCCAAAGCACTTTCACGGCTAATCCATTTACATTTCTTTAAAGCTGCAATTTGTCTCATTGGACCACTTGATTGAATTGGACATAGAGTTTAGAGTAGTAACCGCAGCAAATGAAATGTGTCTTTATAGAAGTTAAAACTTTGGATCAAAGGGTTTTTGATCTTAATGAGAGCCATCTGTAGACATACAAATTTCCTAACATTTAAATGTTTATGATCATAAATCTCAGTCCAGCATTATGAATGCAGTTAATAAAAAGCACTGACACTGGGACATCAAACTGGAAAGTAACAGGTTTACTTGACCCTAAGCTCACCTGACTAGTGCAACATCAGAACTCATTAGCTCAAAGTCATAATGATCAGAAGTAAACTCACAACCCAAGGTTCTGACATGCCATGACAACAGCTGTTGGAACCCAGTCATCGAGGTGTAAAAGCACGTTCACCTGTGTCAGGATCCATCTCTCTTCAGCGGTCAGAGCTGAATATCTATACAGCAAACACACTCTTCCCAATTCCAGCTATACTGTATCTAGTAACATCCCCGGCATTTTCTTCCATTTCAATAATTATTGTTTCCACCGTCAGCTAGTCTTAACACCACCTATAACCATTCCACTGTGACTCTACACGAGCTCAATCATGAAATTACTTCTCAACGTAGTTTGTGCTCCTTGTTCGATAGAACACTTGAGGATGATGAAAAGAACATAATGACCACTGTGAAATTATAAAGTCTAGAATGTTCTGATCATGGATGTGAGGATTAAAACATGAACAAAGCAACAACAGCGTAAGGTGTAACTATCGATTTGTGTTAACAGTCTTAATCTGGACACAATGTATAGATAAGAAAACAGAAGTAAATGGATGTATATGTAAGTGTCTTGTTGCAGAAGTTCACCAATCCGATAACATTCTGAGAAGGTTTTCTCTTGTATAAATGCCTGATACAAATGTTCCTCAGCACATTCCGATGACCTGACGAGGTGCTACAAACATGCATGTCAAACGCTTTGTTCTTTATTTCTCAAAGACACAACACCATGCAGACTCTGATCGCTAGTAGATTTATTTTGTCCCCAGAGCTGAATTTGGAAACAGAAGCCAGTTTGCTGTTCAGTTGGGTACATCTGGATGAATAGGGCTTGTTCGTCTGTCTCGCATATCACCATAGCAACCACCGGGCATGATGTTTGTTTGTGAGCTATTTTCTGGCTCATAATTCCCAATTACAGAAGAAGAAGCGATTTGGATAGAGAGTGAACAAAGGTAGTCATTTATTCCAAGCTAGCAAGGCAAAGTAAACACAGGGGTAGGTTCGAATCAGGGTCTGATCAGGCAAGACTAGGGTGTCGTTCAGCACAGAGAACAAGAGCCCTGCCAATCTCCTCACTGAAAGGAAACACACCATCCATCCATCCATCCACCCATCTATTTTGTGAATGGGGGTTCCAGAGCCCATCCCGGAAGCTACAGGCGCAAGGCAGAAGAAACACACCAAAAAAGTAGAATTTATCATCCATTTTCTGTAACCGCTTATCCTATTCAGTAGCAGAATTTAATGAGACTTTTTTCAAATTTACCATATTTTACCATAAATGCGATGCCTAGTTTTCTAAAAGTCATTTATGAGGAAGGCGGAATGTGAGTTAAGCAAGACTGAGGACAAACACAGACCAACAAAGATGAACAAGGTTGGATCTCACTCACACCGGGCAATTCACCATGAAGTGCCTATGTAGTGTTTAAAAGTAGCTGCCACAGGACAAATATTAGTTAAAATGAAAATAGCCTGGCACTGCTGTAGCAAAGTGTTTCCCAACCCAGTCCTCGGGGCCCCCAGACAGTCCACGTTTTGGCTGGGAGCATCTGGGGGCCCCCGGGGGCCGTGATGGGAAACGCTACTGTAACAGACCAGAGGCAGCCTTCACTCTGATTTCCCCACACGCTAAGAAGTTATGAGAAATATCACTATGTACGCCAAGTAATTTAGTTAAATAAAGAAAATAAAATAGGAGCCAGATATTAGGCATGTTACCTAAAAAGAGAGCACACATCAATTCAGTATTTGTCAAGAGGGATTCCCACTGACTTATGGACAGATCCTGTATTTATTTCAGTGTTTTCTACACAGTGGTTCCCATAACTTTTAGAGAAAAAAAAATTTAAAAGACGTAATTCATCAGGTTATTCCCACTATTCTGCCACTATACTCCAATATCTTGAGGAAAAACTACTCGCTGCTTGAAAAGCCTAATAATTAACGTCCATATACAGTAAAAATCTCCATAAACATAATTTAACATGGGTCACAGCAGTTTGTACGTTCTGCTGTAATAATTATAATGAAATACTGGAAAATGCAAATACTGTGCAAATGAGGAATGGCACCAGAGAAACCTTGCAATGTTTCACCAATCACTTACAAAACAACATCTTTCAGTGCTTTCTTTACAAGTTCGGTCGTGATCTTGGCATTGACAGTGATTCCACATTCCGAAATAGTTCTCTTATACAAAACATTGTTGATGTATAATACATCAGCCTGTTTTTTTTGTTGAGTGTGATGTCACTAACGAGTAACGGCCTTCAATTAAATCAGTTAAATGCCTTTTTGTGATGCCAATCAGCTGTGATTGAATAGCAGGGCAATCAGGACCGTCATCAGTCATTTATAGTGAAATGCATTTTCAAGACCCCTGACATCATTGTTATTAACTATGATTATACTCACAGTTCTATGGCCTTGTTCCACATGATGACATATCCGGAGAGGATGAAGGACTCTATGTTGACAATGTGCGTGTTTCCACGCTCTGTTCCCACATACAGCCATTTACTCTGGAACGGGACGTGGCAGAAAGTGATGCTGGAGAGAGAGGAAAAAGAAGAGAGGATGGAAGAGCACTGGCACCAAAAGGCTGGTGACGGGATAGTTTGGGGTGCAAAACACAGGGTGGAGTGTGGTTCAGTGGGTTAGGACACTGTGCTTGTGACTGGAAGGTCACTGGTTGAAATCCGCCACCTAGCAAAGCCATTTCCCCTTTGGGCCCCTAACCCCCAATTGCTCCAGCAACGGTCTGACTCTTCCTTTGCAAATACATACATTGCTCAGAAAAAATGCATCTGCTCAATAAATCTAGGGTATTATAGTTTAAAAACCTCAGGGACACTCTTAACAAACATATGCAAGCTTCATAAAGCAGGTATGAAATGTGCAGTATATCAGAGCACACGCATGGAAATTAAATGTATCAAAATCATCAGCATCAATCCCCTGTGTGGTAGTTTTGCGCACCTAAAAAGGCTGAGTCACACTTACATGGCTTAATTCAAGATGAGTAACCAGCCAAAAGTTTGTTGTGAGTAAGTATTCAGTTGGGGATCCATCACTGCCTACAAGGTAGAGCAGTATGATTTGGTCAAACCTTCTGGCCCCAGCAGCTCCCCATTAGTTTTTACTAATGCTGGACTCAAATCCCAGCCAACAAGCAGAACCTGTCCTCATCTCCTGCCTTCAGCCTCAATTTGTCAAGTTTAAATTAACCTGAGGAGGAAGGATTTAAAAGGTTGAATGCCACCTGCAAAAAGTAAGGATTTTATGCAAATGTTCTAATTGGTTGCCAGAAACATGAAATTGTTGCCCTTGGCAGAAAGTGAAAACTCTTTAACTCTGATATGAATTGGACTGAACAGAATCAGCAACATGATGTCAGTTTGGTACCCAGTCACTATACTCTTATTTACCCTCTCTTTCATACCAAACTCATTTTATGTCCAGCAAAGGACAATCACTACTGGCAGTGTTACCTATAGCTAGATGACTAGCTAGTTAGTGTCAGCCAGGAAATAGTTTGCTAGTTGTGTTCAAACTGTGTGACATGGAGATGGAAAAGGCTGTGTTGTGTTGGTGTTTGCAGCTGGCTAGCAAATCCTGAAGGACAGTGTAATTTGTACAGGTAACTACAAACTGAGCTGGTCTGCTATCTACCTTGCTGGCTAACATTACCGGACTAACATTGACCAGGGTCTCCAGCTCTCACGTATCTGGCGTGACACTCACGCTTTCAAACTCTCACGCTCGCACAAGAAACCTCATGGCAAATCTATATTATTCCATTATTAATCTAAAATTGGCTACTTCAAAAGTGTTGTGGTAGTTTGCAAACCCTACAGGCTATTTACAAGGTAATAAAACTCTTACACACGCGTAAATGTGTGTGCAAACTTGTCTCAAATTGAAAATCTCACTCCAGCTAACTGACCAAAGTTGGCAGCTCTGCCTTAACATAAGTTCATAACACAGTTTCGCAGTATGTGTGTGATTGCACATTAAACATATAGCTACCCAAGCAGATGTACGTAATATATTTTGACAGTTTAAGGCTTACGCAGCATGTATCTGCAGAACAACAACACAGAAACAATTCAGCTGCCTTCTTATACTTGCATGCAGCTAAAGATAGTTAACCTTGTTTACTGCCGCTGAGATGTGAGTCGTGATTGTCACGGCGTGACAACTTGTTGATGATGTGTTGAATTATCGTAGATGACAGGAATTATTGTGGATGGGGGAGGGGATTAAGATGCAATCTGACGGAGGAAGCTCTCTCATTGGCCAGATTAACCTGACTGCGAGTTTACTGCAAGCGCAACAACTTGCACAGTCAATGCAGGCATGTTATTGGATGAGTGAATAACTATTTCATACTCTACATTTTTCCGAAATGTTGGGTAGGCACGTGCCTACCTATTGACTGGCACTATGCCTCGGCCACAAAGTGAGGTCAGCATTGGGCCCGTGATCCCATTTGCTCCAAGGCCGCTGGCTGACTCTGCTTTCTGACCACAAAACTTGCTCTTTCATGTCTATATGTCTGTGAATTACATGGACTGTAAGATGGGCTTTGCAAAAACTACCCAATTTTCCCACAGAGATGAATAAAGTTATCATTACACTGTCCTAAAGGCATAGGTAACTTCAGAATAGAATAATTATTAATTGCTTGATATTCATATATTGTTAGATGTTTCCATCAATACTTTCCCCCTTCTCTAGCTAAGGGATCAATATAGAAAGCAACAAGGCCGTCTTCATATTTCCTGAGTGAAACATATTTCTAAACACCACAGAATTCTGTGTGAGAACCTTGATTGTGCAAAGCAGTCAGAGGCCAACCCACACAGCAAGAGCGGCAAGGACTCTCTCATTCTTCTGCTTCACCTGAAAAATGAAGGCAACTTTTTTTCTCCAGAAGAATCACCATATTAAAAAGAGAGAAGTCTTTTGTGTTGGATGTGCAGCCTCCAGAGCGCCCTCCGGTGATGGATTTCTATATAAAGGGGCAAATCCCAACATGAAGCACAAAGCACACACACAAGTGTAGAAGTCTGAATGTGCCATTCAGAAACTGAGGATCTGGCCGCCGTGCAAAAAGAGAAAACAAGGACATACGCTAAAATTTCACAGAGCCTTCTGGAAATGTCACACGACCATGTGTGTGCACTTGTGTGAGCTCATCGACTCACCGCTCTCTATTAAACTTCAGAGAGTGTAGAACTGCAGGATGTTTTTGCCGCAGGTTCCACAGGTGAAGTGTGTCATCCGCACACGCCGTGACTAGTGCCCCCTATAGGTGAAGAGAAAGAAAATGTCACAGCATTTATTTTTGACAAAAGCTTATTCTCTCAGTGAACAGCAACGTTCGATTATTTAGCAGACAACTTTCCCCAAAGCAGTCGACGGGTGTAGAGAACAGGGTTGGACAGCATCCCTGAAGCAGCCTATCTCTAGGCCCCAATGGTGATAAGACTGACCTACCACAGATGGGATTGGAACCCACAACCTTCTGGACAGCATACCCCCGTAGAGCACTGTGTAGTACTATACAGCACTGAATGGTACCCTTCTAATGATAATCTGGAGGTTTCTTTGTGTTTGCAGGCATGTGGGTGTGTGGTTGTGAGTGTGTGTGTGTGTGTGTGTGTGTGTGTGTTTGCTCGGCTGAAATAATGGAAGAAAGATTTCTGGCCTGTTCTCTATTCTTTGAGGATCTATGTACATGCTAAGTAAGCAGCTCTCAATTTTCAGGTTAGCAGATATAGTTTTGTCTGGTTTTAGCTGCCACAGCACGATTCACATTTGAGTGACTGCACAGCGCACATTAACGCAGATGAAAGCCAGCTTTGAGAGGAGCGTCAGGATTCTGAATTGATGCTACGCCTGATTTTATTTCCTCCACAATCAGCCTGTCTTGGAGCCCACATCCTTTCGCAGCACCTCGTGTCGCTACCGACACGCAGGTCTGTTTATGTGAGCAGGGTCTGTTTATATTAAGTACAGATGATAAATAATCAGCAAGGGTGTAAAAAAAAAATCACTAAAAACATCTGCCTCCTTCTAATACATTAAAATAAAAATACTAGTCACACACAAGGTGAATCAATATCTTTTGTGTTAAGTGGTGGAGTGTTAAGTGTGAGTTATGTACGGGTGCAAGGGGTGAGAAGCAGAATAGGTGAGGTTTACGCCCCCCCACTTGGCCACAAAGAGTCACTACACTGGGGGGTGAGGCCCCAGTGACAACAAACCTGCCATGTGTGTAAGGTATTAGGAGGTATGAATGATGTGTGAGTAAGACATGAGTAGAACATAAGGTGCTTGTAATGCATACAGGTGCCAGAGGGACAGATGCATGCTTCTGTGCAGGGACAATCACTTCCCTTCTGATGCACAGTAATTAATGCAGTTTCAAGCCATACCGTCATTTGCATTTTCATGTGATCGCGAACCAAATGCTCACAAAAGCATGCTCTTCAAGCGTCTGTTGGCTGCTGATAGATAACAAAGGTGAATTGGGGAGGGGGGGGGGTAGCTGGCTGAACCAGCAGCACCATAAAACTGCACCATTGGGAAGGCAGAGGCTCAACAGGGAGCTCTGGAGCATATGCTTTAAATAACCAGCCAGTTACGAAGGCACTACACTGCATGCTGCTTTCCTTCATGTTAAAGGGAACGGTCTAATTTATCCATTGTAGAGCTTCTATCGCTATAGCAACATTGTGAAACAATGGAGTGACATGGAATTCTTTTGATCCTTTGAAATGGACAATGGAAGAACCTTACCTTATTCACTATACTTACCCATACTCTTACCTGCCACACTTACTATCCTCCATACTATTACTTCCCTCATCATACTTACTAAATTCTCTATCCACACTCCCCATACTTACTCATGAATTTACGTGGTCCACTACACTTACATACTCTAAGCTTCACTCAACATGCCCATATTCTTACTCCCCTTGTTCTACATGCTTCTAATCTTACCTCTCTGACTATACTCCCCCGTACTCTTATCTTACTCACCATGCTTACTCACCTCGTTGATGAGGAACTGCACCTGAAGAACAGCAGCTCCACTTTCATGCTGGCAGTGACAGTCAACACCTGGCCTCCCCAGTCTGATGGCATCTCCCAGTTAAGGAGGTTCCCATAAGCACACGTGCAAAAAAAAAACATGGAGAGGTGAAACCCGACAGGGACCAGCTGAGTACTGCCATTCATGCCCTTTTTTCTATTATACTTTGTTTTTTTATTCTCTAAAACACATTGTCCTCTTCACTGCTTTGACCTTTTCAGCATTATGTGATGAAAGCTCCACTACAAAGATTGACAATGACATTGGAGCAGGAATCACAGGCATGCTGCATGGCTCTGTAGGTTCGGACACTGCACCTCTATCTGAAAGGCCAACAGAGGAGTAATCATATTACGGGCCGGTTACTCTGGTAGGGGTACCACCCTGAGCAAGGTTCTTAACCCTCCCCCCCACAGGGGTACCAGATAAACGGCTGACCCTAAGCTCTCACCCAGATCTGACCTGTGTCTCATAGGAGAGCAAGATGAGATATGAATTAGACTCCAATCTAATTCTAATGTCTACTGGGACTCAGATGTATCCCAGACACACCGTGGAAGCCTTGGCCTGCTTTTAGAAATCCTCAGAACACTATGCCAGTGGTCAAGCAGAACAACTTCATCCTAAGCACTTCATCTTCATCACCAACAAGCCACTTCTTCTACACCTCGCCTTGTCTTAACCTCAACCCTCCAAAAGCTTCTAAAATAACTGCAGTCTGGCTGATCATTGCTAACATGACGTAAGACAATCATAGGGCTCAACCGGACAGCTTCATGCCTAACTTCTGTCTGAAGGTTGTAGAGCACCTCCACTCTGAGGCCCCTTCATTGTTGAGCAAACAATGTCAAAGTCTGAGGAGCTTGTTTTCCAACCCATTAACATTCTTTTTCACTGTTTGCATCAGTAGGACGCTACGAACACACAATTCCCAACATGAAATTTTAACCAAGAGATCTACTGCAAAAATTAATACAGAAATTTATGGCTACAAACTTTCTTGAAGGAGCAACGATGAAGTATTACATGCTTACTTAATGCATTAATTAACCAGTTAAATAATCATGACGGTCCATGTATTTCATACAGGAACTATATTAGGTCATGATTTGTTCTTGAGTAGTGACTGAGTAACTAAGTTATTTGTACCCCCCTCAAGTAAAGTGTTACCCCGATTTCGTATTGCAATGAAAGACAAGATAAACTGGTTCTCAAAAACATACAAAGAGAGCACAGATGCAAAAACAGGGGTGTACTTACTACACAGCAAAACAATCAAAATGAAGTCTGGCCTCTACACATGTATCAAACGGGGAAGGCTCCAGACACAATAGCTTTATTATCCCGGACAATGGCTTTGGTCCCTCAACCAGATCTTCCAACTTCCAGAGGAACATGCTGAACACTCAAGGAACACTGGTAGTAGGTGTCAAAGCGTGCACAAGCAATGATTCTTTCAAAAGCAGCATGGTTACTGATCCACCGAGGGGGGTTATGAAATGAAGGTGCTCATTATTAGCAGGACTGCTTATCGACACCCTGCTATAGCTAATCTGAGCTGCAACAGGGAAGCGATTACATTACAGTCATGTGACCAAGATGAGGGTCTTTGATTGACTTGCCACCAATGTATGTCATCATCCTGACTGAGAAAACATGGAACACATGAATAAAGGGAATGTTTGAAGTACAACCTTGATGCCCTGACATTTACATGAATGTTTTTTTTTTTTATTGAGGGCATGAGATGTTAAGCCAATAGGCATGAAAGCTTCAGGAAGCTTCGTATGTAATTATTTGGGTGATCAGTATTTTTTTCACAAATATAAGTTGCATTAAGAATAGAAAAGTTTGTTTTGCGCAGGGTAGCTGTGCATCAGCATTCTACAAACGGAAGCATCTGCTGAAATATTTTTATATTACCGTTTGTTTAAGGAATTAGGAAGTCATACATAATCCCTATCAGAATGGAGGCTGAGGTCACCGAGTTAATAGCCTGCAATGCATGAATGGCTGCTAATTGCCTTCAGCTCGATAGTCTTCATGACGATAAATCTGAATGCCGGAGCACATTATAGCCAAAATAACGGGAAGATGACAGGCGGAACGTTACTTCTGAGCGGTGAAATGTGCGGGCAGGAAAGAAGATACCAGATCACTAAAATACAAACTGATCTTCCTCACTATCTCATGACCATGACGACAGACTCTACTGATTTGAATCGCCTTGTACTGAAATTGAATGCTGACTGAAGTCAGACTCTGAGGCGGTACTGATGTAGTAACGGCTTTGTCATGTTTTTGTATGGAGACGGCAAACAAAAGGCTTTTTACTCACTCACAAACTTTCAGTCGACACTATTGAAGCGTACTTGACAGCAGAATCACACACTCGGATCGTACGTGCGAGTCTTACTGGTGTGAACATCATTCATTATTCAGAAATCACAGGCCGCAGTGAATCTCCAGTGACCGCTCCCACTGACCAGCTGCATCCACAAGGCAGGCAGATAAACACTCTACAGAACTGGGCAGTCTGGGATTCATGGGACAAGCCAGAAATCTTCCATGAATTTTATTCCCATCCCCTAAGACTCTCAAACCCTCATGTAGTAGTGAAGTCGCGCTTTCTCAGAGTTTAGATGATGTTTCTATATCAGTATCACGCTAAAAACTCAGGCTCCTCATCTGCCCAGTTAGTTCCGCTCTGGTTCTGCCTTTCAGTCTCCTCTCGGGCGCTTTTCACGGCTGCCACATAATCATACCATAACCAGTTCATTTTTATAAACCAGTGACTCAGTGCGGAAGAACTGCCCCACGTTCTTCAGTCTGATTCCGATGCTGACGTCAGGTGAGATACCAGCAGGTTTTCTCAGAGGCGGAAGATGTGGAAGCAGGGACGGAGAAATGGGCAGTGAGTCAGAGCGGGGGGGAACAAAGAAAAAGGATGGATAGAGAGAAAAGGAGAATGAGGGAGGGAAATGATGGAAAGACAAATTGAAGGTAAGAGAAAGGAAGTGTGAGGGAGTGCTGAGGGGTGATGGGAACTGGGAGGTGAGAGAGAAGAAGGTGCTGAACGGAACAGGAGCGAAAACGAGGCGAGGCTTTAGGCCTGAGTCACGGAAACAACAGTGACTCAGAGGAGGAGGGGCATCCAGTGACGTAACACTGACCCCTACATGTTGAGGATAGCAGTGGTTTCTCGGCAAATGTCAAACTGCACAGGACCCTGGCGTTTTCACGGATAAACTAAGTTCAAAGCCCTTGTGGACAAGTCCTTGTTTTGCTCTGTGATGGACACAAAACCACTCTGCAGGGTGGTTGGGGGGGGGGGGGGGGTAGAGGTATCATCTACTTCTCCACTTTAATGTCATAATACCGTTAGGGAAATATCTTACTGTTTGTTTACTTTGCAGTATGCTTGAGATCTCATTGACTTAGCAGACATGATTATCAGGATATACATACATAGCCAGTATGACAAAAATGTAACATAAGAACAAAATAGACAAAAAAAACATAAATAACTCAATACGAGTGAACTTCTCTCAGCAGCACGGAGAGGAATCTGACAGATGGTTCTTGCCTTTCTTAATCAGGCTTTTTCGCAAGAACGTTTTGACACTATCGGGGAATGGTTCCATTATCCTGAAGACTTTTACAAGGCTGTGACTGAGCATGTTCCTGGTCTCATTTTACTGGCCGTCAATTGTTACTGCTCTATAACCAGATTTAATGTCTTCTTCCTGAGCTGGTCAGAGGAGCGCAGTATTCAATGGACAGTTAACTGGCCTCTAAATTGTGAAGGAAACACTTGTAAACAGTCTTTGGGGAAAAATTAAAAAGAAAAATGTGCCATCAGTGAAGGCTCATCCTGACAGAAGCTCAACTGTCTTGATAATCTTTTAAAAATGTTTTTTTCTGCTCAGCATTAAAGGATCCTGCAAATTTAATTGAGAATGCAGCTTTGAAAAATCATGTGTGTGTGTGTGTGTGTGTGTGTGTGTGTGTGTGTGACAGTCTACATCAATGTGTGTATGTGCGCGTGTGTGTGTGTGCGCGTGTGTGTGTGTATGTATATTTCTCTTAATGTATGTATGTCAGAGAGTGTATGTCCCTCTGAGTGTTTGTATGTCTGTGAGAGAGTGCATATCTCTCTGAAAGAGAGAGAGAGAGATAGAGAGAGAGGGAGATATCTGTATATCTGTGTGAGTGTGACTGTCTCTGTGTGTATGCGTGTGTGACAGTCTACATCAGTGTGTGTGTGTGTGTGTGTGTGTGTGTGTGAGAGAGAGAGAGAGAGAGAGAGAGAGAGAGAGAAAGAGAGACAGAGGGAGACAGTGTATGTCCCTGTGTTTGAAATACCAGGCAGACTTGAGGACACCTTCCCTGGATGGGTCACAGATGTGCCACGGCAGTGTCACAGAAAGTTATTAGCCTCGCAGCTGCTGCCACATAAAATAAGGGGCTGGCAAGCAGGAGAGCATGGAGACCAGTTCCCGTGCTCAGCCCGGAAGCCTCTACTTACTGTTTTATAATTAAGAAGGCAACAATTATGCTACTCATCTAATTATTTTTACCCCTCATATTTTTAGCCCTCCCTGGTACTTAGGAGACCAAAATAAAATGAAAAGCTTGTTAAATTGGAGTAAATAATTAGCTCTGGTTTAACCTCTATATTGGGTAATTAAAGTCTGATAAATAGCCGGAAGTAGTAGAGTCTTCTGTACTGTGCCTGTCTGCAGTGCCAGAGTCAGACTCTGACCATCTATGATGTTTCATGTTCATGCTGGTTACACCTCTGAGGGGATAGAAGTTCCAACTCTAATATCCAAACAGCGGAGGGGGAAACCATTCATCAGAACACCAGCTGCAGAGTTTGTTACCCCAAACGGATTCCTGTCTCAGTGGCAGGGGGGGGTATCTGTCAATGAGGAGGCTCTGCTCGCTGCTTCTCCCCCAGACACACACTTCCGGCCCCAATTCATTTATACTGGGGGTCAGGGCCAGTCAAGGTTCAGCAGTTGTTGCACTTCTGATGCC